AAGAAGATCATTGCACAGATCAATAAAAGAAGGAAACTCCCTTTGAGTCGTCGCGATTCCTCGTTGGTCGCGTTAACGAAAGAAACATTGGGTCGATGATCAAATTCGTTGGGCAAATAATTCAATAATTCGTGTTCTCGATATCGCTTCGATAATCGTGCGAACTTGTAGTAGCAATTGAAACGATATCGATCATCATTCGCTATTCCTTCGATCATTTACGTCTCACGCTCTCGGATGAATTCCTCTCGCGAGAAATAAATTTCTTCTCCAATCTCTTCTTCGTCGAATTCCTCGTCGCGGGATCGATCACGTTTCTCATCAGCCGGACCCTTCCCTCTCGTATCTTTAAAAAACTCTTGTTCCATTCTCGAGACGAGCCGTCTATAAAAATTAATAAAAAAAATCAAATTAATGAACTTGCGAGGCGAGAGGAGTTAACGTTTAAGATCCATCCGTTTTCCTACCATCTCTCTCCTTTTCCATTAACGCGCCCCTCATCCTTTCCAACAAAGGATCGGAAGTCGACGGTTTCGCAATCGTATTCCGCGTGCCGGCAACATCTCCAGCCTTGTCCTTTCCTGCGACTCTCCGACACGCCCTCGTTATTGCCTCCTTCAGCTTCCTCCCACCTTTCGCCCTATTTTTCAATATCCCTTGCGTATCTTTCACTTAAATTCACAGAAGGATTCGTTATAATAATAATAATAATAATATTCTTCTCAAACTTATTTCGAAAACTTACGAGTTTTGATTCTTTTATAACGCCTTGTCCTGGTCGCAACGAAATTATCGTTTTTGTCCCTTTTTGGGGAAGGAACTTCGCGATACATCCCGTCCACGGTTACGAATCCATACTCCCTCGTGATAATCCCATCGGCATCTTAATCGAACAGACAAAAAGTAATTTTTCTCCAAACTCGTTCTTCCTTATTTTTCTCCATCTATTATTTTTTTCTCTCGAGTCACAGTTACATACCTTTGTTCTCGTGTTTGTGCTGGAAATCGAGGATGTTGATGGCGAACCGATACGGTCTGTCCTCTGGGGAAGCAGAAACAGCGACAACGGCAACGTCGGCTCGGTGCTCTTGGCCGTTCTGCGCGATCGAGACGGGAACGAACGAGAGAAAAATGGCGCAGAGGGAGAGGAAGGTTCGACGATACATCCCTCGAGGGAAATGTCGTCATCGACGCGATACTCGTTTATTAAACGATTATTTCCCCTTTCGAGGAAACGAAGGAATCGTCATCGGATGCGGGAGAGATGCTGCAAACACTTTACGATCGAAAGATTGAATGAGCGTTGAAAGTGTTCGAATCCTTCTCGACCGTTGAACGATGGTGATGCAACGAAACGAGTAGGGAGGGAGAAAAAAAAATCTCTTTGTCGATTTATCAAAAATATTTGCCAGAGAGAGAGAGAGAGAGAGAGAGAGGAGGAAATCGTGTTATCCGTTTATTGGAGAAAAAATCCGAATGGAGAGAATAGGAGAATCGCTCGACGCTCGCTTTCATCCCATGCGCTTGAATAATTACAACGACAACAAACACGAGTTATAAATCTTTTTACGGCCTATCGTGAGTACGCGTATTTATCGCGAAGACACGAAGCCATAAAAGTTCTCGTTACAACCTTCCTTCCTTACCGGTATCTACCAATCGCGAAGACAACGCAATTTTTCTGTCTACCCGATATATAATCATATGCGAATCTCTTCTTCTTTGACGAGCCAACCATCCTAACGATAATTACTTTCTCGATCGGCGTGTACAGCTTTCGATACATCGTTGCGCAATTTTTGTAAAACGCGAGTTCGATGATAATGTTCATCATATCGATGATCATCGTAAAATATATCCATTCGTTCGAGATTATCGAATGTCTCGTCGTAAGGATCATAATAAAAGGCGAATCAAACGCTGCGCCGACGACAGACGCGCAAATGGAAAACGATTTATGAGATATATCGTCGAGGTGAAAGGTGAAAGCATGTTTGGAGTTGCGTAAACGTAAGGAAAAGATTAAGGCGATAAAGGGCTTCCAACCTCTTGGAGAGGAGAGTTTTGAAACTGGGGCCAAGAGCGTTGGGGGGGAGCAGGGAGAATTGGAACGGTGTTTCTGAAAAAGCTGGATGCTTTCACGTAGCGCGATCTAAGCATACAGAGATTAATCCGGGTTCGATTCCGATTTGCCGCGTAACGTATGCGGCGTGCATCGTGCATTTTGTAGTTTAGAAAACGGTATATAGAGGCGCACGTTTCGTATGGCGAGCTGTCGATACGGCCGATTGATGGCGATAGCATACCAACTAAACGCGCACGGAAGGTGGGTTTCTGGCACGTATACGCACATCGAATAACGAAGCCTTGAACGATAAATTCGACATTGACGGTACTTTCGTTACGTGTCCCTAACATTGATCTATATTGATATTCCTCGCCACGAAACGTTACGCTCGTCTCCTCGAAAAGTGGAACGCCTTCTCCGCCGCGATTCTTTCTTCGCGAAGAATTTTGCAATTTTTGTGTGATCGCCTGTAGCGTTGTATCGTTGTCGCGCGGACGTATATATATTCGTATATAATGTGGACGAGCGCGTCAACGATCCGTCATCGGGACGGTGTTATCTCGATTTCGATTTCGACGTCGAATTTAACGGCAGAGAAAAGGGAAAACTGGTACGTGGTCGGTGGTTCAGAATCTGGACCGAAATGCCGTTACGATGCCGTTCGAAAGTGGGCCGCTCGGTGTATCTCGTGCTTGGTTGGTCGCTCGCTGTACGCAAGACGTTTCCACGAGAGCACAATTTAATTTTAGTTCCTATAGTTGATCGAGCGCCGATTCATCGTGCGGAAAATTAATTCAATATTCTTCTCGATAAGTTTCGTGTAAAATAATCATGATTTTCGATCACGTATCACAGACGTATATACATATATATATATATACATACATATATAATTATATATATATATACATATATATATAATTTTCGTTGGAACAATAATTATCTTAAACACGATTATTCGTTATATGGATATAATTCTATTTGGAAAAGTGCCATCTCGTTCCTCTTCCCCACCATCCGTCGTCATCCGCTTCCGGTTCGTGATAAGTTTCGTAATAGTGTTGGTGATATTCAGGTTTGTGGATCACTATCGTTTCCGACTTCTTGGAATTCCTCAGCGTGTTGTACAGCATTATTGCCAACGCGATTTTCCCTACGAACAAGCTTCGGATTAAACTCAATTTGATGGAGGAGAGGGTGACCGGTAGCCATGCTAACTGAAAAATTAAACGGACGAAAGAACGTTAGAGTTCGGTATCGAGATTGCTGGATCCTTTTTCTTTTTTCTTTTATTCTTTTTTATAGAAAAGATATAAACCTGCATCATCAATGGGATCATCATCATCGCCATACCGATTCCTTTTATAATTTTCTTTTTATACCTTATTATTCCAAATTTTCGTTCCTCTGGATCGTCTCCTTGAAAGAAGAAGACGAGATTCGTGAGTGAGTAGCGAATTTCAAAAAAAAAAACGATATTTTTTTTCTTTACTTACTTTTAATCAAAGACGACATGCTCAGCTTCACGGTCGTTTCGTTATTCGTCACGTACACGGCAATTCCTCGAGAAATGTCTATTCTCAGAGCGTTGCTCGAATCCTTGGCAGTATGGTTAGCACGCGTCAACGTTTGGTACATAATCGCGATGCACAAACACCAAAAAATCGTGTCCACTTTATTCATCGTGCCGCGTCTCTCTTAGGAAAGTTAATTCTTAAATGCAAAAATGGGAACTTGAATCGACACCTTTATTTTTTTTTTTTTTTTTTTTTTTTTTTTAACTACCTTTCTAATTAAAGCTAATTAATTCTTCGCGCGTCCCCTCACCTTTTTCCCTTCCACCATTCCACCATCGATTTCCACCATTAGAGGAAATAGAAAATCTTTCGACGACCGGTGTACCGTTAATCGTCGGTTTCGGCACCGCCTCTCGGCTACTTGCCTCACTTCCGGTCCCCCGAAACTCGAATCGAATAATTTTTTCCGCGAGCAAAACGACGAGCGGTTCTTGGTTTCGAAGTCGGTGAACAGACTGGATACACGGCGAATGGAGAGCGGACATTTTCCTTTTTTTCTTTCCTTTTTTTTTTTTTTTTTTGCTTACCCCACTAAACCGGGAAACTGGAACTCGTGCAATTCGTCGGGCACGGAAGACGCGACGCGGTTGGTCGCGGACGCGTGGTGTGAATCAAGCTTGACCTTGAAACGCGGAAAACTTTAAACTTCGTTTCTCTCGATCTCCCGGTTGAAAAAGGAGGACCCTCTTCGAAATTTTTTTCGATAAAAGTCGAGAAAAGAATAGTCGAGGCAAGAAAGCGCAAAGAAGAGAAGGATCGATTTGATGATGATGAAAAAAAAAAAAAAATTTAATAAAATACATTCTACGATGATATACATATAATTGTTAGGATTAAACGTGGATGGTTATCGAGACGGAGACGCTGCTTCCTTACTACAATAATAAATTAATACTAATATCGCTAAGTTGAGGTAAACGTGTTGAGGTTGTTGTTCCTTAAACGTAACACAAGTTTACACAATTTTGGCCTCTCAATTTGGTCTTTTTCTCGATTATATCTATATGCGATTCGAGGCGAGGTGCCAGTCTTACTTTTCGAAATAAAACTTAAATAAAAAAAAACTTAAATTCTGAGAGTAAATATCCTTTGGTACGTGGAGAGCAAATGTAGCATCGAGTTCGCTTGATCGTATGATAAATTATCACAAATAATCGCGATTTTTCTTCACAATTGAGGTATGGATATATAGTCGAGGAAGGAACGATGTACGCGCGACAAGTCTAATTCTAATTGCGACAAACATATATATATATATATATATATCGAAGAAACGGTCTCTTCACGGGGAGAGGGTTTACGATGCTCTGTAGTAGTAGTGGTGTTCCCCTCCTGGACCGCTCCCCGGCATCCAACCGCTGTACGCTTGATTGTGAGCCGTTGGTGGACTGTTGTGAACGTGCACATGGATCGGTTGAGGAGTCTGCGCATTGTGCTGCCAACCGAAGGAGAACTTGGCTATTAGCGTGCTCAGTTTCAGCATTAATAACATGGCACCTGTAATGGCGAGTCCGCGTTCAGACCGATGCGATAAGATAAGAAAGGGAATTTATATTTATTATACGCGTAGAATTTTACGATGCGCGGCATCATCATTTTAAATGGGATAGATTTTCTTTTTTCACTTACCAACGAGCAATCCCTTGACGGAGATCGCCGTCAAAACGATCAGCATCGTCATCATCACTCCCATTTTGTACATCATCGGCATCAGCATGAATTGGATTCGCTTATGACCGAACGTTCGACCCTCTCTTCTCGTCCCTTCTAAACATTAGACACGAGATCAGATTGTACAGAATTCTGTTCACGAGTGGCTCGATACTATACGACTCGGAATAATATCGTTTGTATACGAATTATTGTACGTATTATATATTATACGAAACGTATTGAATTTAAATTTTTTTACCCTGTACGCTCCTCTTCCTTCTCCTGCTCCTCTCATCGTCGATTAATTGTTCGAGTCGGTGTGTATCGGGATCCGGTGAAGTGTCCTTGGAAATGGGCAGCAGTTTGGTTAGTTTGCCGCGTTCAGTTGGATGGCGGTGAGCTGTAGCAACGATACCAACACTCTCCTCCTCCGCGCTGGCGAGCAGAGATGCACTTTTTGGAAAAGTAGACGCGAGCAACGCGCACGCCATCGCCCAACCAATCGGCCGCATTATCGAACCGGTTGCGATGATCACGTGGCCCTCTTCATCGACACCGCGTATTCGATCGAGGTGAGAGAATTTTCTCGAGAACTCGTTCGTTTCCTTTGTAATAAATTCTTGGAATTATCGAAAAATCGTGACGGCACGAATCCAGACGAATCCAAGGAACCACCAATTGTGGAACGTGTTTATCGAGCTCGCACGAGCCGGCGTATGATTCGGACGAACGGCCACGGAGCCGTTCCAACTCAAAAGAGGAT